ACGAGATTATTTGTTCCTAATTATTCAGTAATAGAAACTAAATTAGAAACTAGATTATTTGTTCCTAACTAATCAGCAATAGAAACCAAATTAAAAACGGATTGTTTTGTTCTTAACATCTTAATATTAGTGACAATTACAATATAATGGCATCTTCTATTTTTTATTGTTGCATTCAGTAAAATTGTTTTGCATCAAATGAATTCATTAATACCACTAAAAATAAGCAAGTAAGATTAAAGAAAAATAAAATAAAATACAATTATTTTATTTCGTCAATACAATAATAAAAAATTCAATTGATAAAACATCAAAGTACAATTAATACAAACTACTAATCATTTTATCCTCAAATAAACTTGGAAGTAATATTTTTAACATTTCATGATTATGCCCCAATAGAACTCGCTGAGCCTTCTCTCGTTCTTGTGCCGCAGAAATGAACCCGTCATACATTGGCAGCTTGTTCAAGTCAAGATACCGTAATGTTTTTTGAGTCGCTGATATGAACCCTTCATATGTTGGTAGCTTATTCAAGTCCAGCTGCAATATCGATGCCTTCTCTTTAGTGTTACATTCTTGTGTCTGTAGATAAGAATCAAATTATTCGTCGTATCATATATTGGTGAAAAGAAGAAAAAATAAAATAAAATTTGCAGTGTTACATTCTTGTGTGTGTAGATAAGAATCAAATTATTCGTCGTATCATATATTGGTGAAAAGAAGAAAAAATAAAATAAAATTTGCACTTACAGACTCTGGCGGATAATTCAAATCCCATCCTATTGTTTGACGTTTCACTCCCATAGAAGTATTTCACTCCCATAGAAGTATGTCTGCTAAATAAATGTATGAGTAATACTGAAAATGTAATTGCTCCCATAGAAGTATGTCTGCCAAATAAATGTATGAGTAATACTCAAAATGTAATTGCGTTCAGGAGGTAATAAGATGATTCAGTAGTAGTTGCGTTCAGAGGTAAGATGATTTGGAGTTTGTAGAAGAGTTTGGAGTTCTGTAGTTAGAGAAGAGTGTTTTAGACGTGGTTAGTAACGTGGTCAGTTAATTTAATATAGGATGTGGTAGTTATTATACTTGAACGCGTGGGTTAACCTATTTATTAATCCTAACTCAATATTTATTAATTAACTACACCTCCCTATTTATTATTAACTTAATCTATTTATTAATTACTACTCAATATTTATTAATTATATACTACTTCCTATTTATTAACCTAACATATTGTGCAACTCAATAATTATTTATTAACTTTACGTTTATAACTTTTTTTTTAAAAATAAATTATAAAAGTTAGCCTACCATATTTCAATTTAATTAGTTATCATACTTACAATATTTTATTTTAATATTATTAATAAACTGTAAATTGTATAAGGAAATACAAACCAAAACAAAATATGCTATAAGAAAATGAGTATCATATAGATGGTCGACACATAGGATTAAAATATATCTTAGTCCATAGAGAAAAGTTGTAGAAGAAACTAAATCATTAACTAAAAGATTTAGGAAAATTAAATATTCCATATAGAAAAATTGTAAATGGTTATTAATTAAAAGATCTAGAAAAAATAAATATTCCATAGATAAAAATTGCAAATAAATTAAATCTTTAACTAAAAGATGTAGAAAAACTAAATAATTCAAATAAAAAATATATGTACCAAACTAAAAGCCAAAAATGACTAACCAGTCCGACATTTTCTTGAAGCAAAAATATAATTTAAGAAAATGTGTAATCAAGAAACATTATTTCAAGACATTTTCATGAAGTGCTACTTATGGCAGTATCAATTATCTAATAGGTTAGATTTATTTATAAGTAGATATGTCTACATATTGTATGTGCGGATCTCGATTGTATTAAAAGTAACAATTGTTCTTGTGATAATAATGGTGATGTAATTTAAGCTGGGTACTAAAAGATTGTTGCTTTAACTTAATAAGCCTGGAGCTGCATGGAATGGAATGGTTACCAATACCACGTAATTAGTAGTATTAATTAATTAATTAATTCAAAAATAAAAATAAAAGAAAAAAAATATAATCCTCAGTGGATATCATATCAAGGGTCGCTAACACCACAGCTACATACTACAGTACAACAGATAGGGCATTACAAATTAGTTAGGATTTAAGACCCGTACCAGGCAATGAAATATTTTACAATTATTTGATTAGCACAAGATGTTCGTTCGAACTCATTCAAGCTCGAATATAAAAATTAAAAAAAAAAATCATATTTTAGAGTTTTTATAAAAAAATATTATATATATAAACATAAATAAAAATTGTATAGAATTAATGTTTAGTGAACATTTGCGAACAAGCTGGGGTTTGTTCAATTATTAAACGAACATAGTTATATATGTAGAATATGCTACAATATTAAATCTTTAAATTGAAACCATTTATATGTATTTGTAACAAAGGGAGTTAGTCACAGAATTAGTTACTAATACAAATACAATGGTTTAAAGTACATTTCGTTTCTGAAAGTATATTCTGTATCTAAATCATTGTTACTATTGTAACAACTAAAATTTAGTTACAAATTTTGGTTACTGATGCACCATTTTCTAGTAGTGGGTGTAGAAGAAAGTATTCGAGTTGAGAAGGATAGCGGTCACATAATCCCAAGAGATGAATAAGATGCTTTAATCTTAGTAGTGCAATATGTACATTATTATCAAATTCTAGGAGATACGGAGATTTAGCTTGATGAACGCTCTTTCTAATATAATAGTATATAAGAACATACATGTAAGTGGACATAAACAACATCGGCTAGACAAATCATAATCTTAAAGATTCTCCCGTTTTCACTACTATTTTGTTTTCAATGATTTGATTATAGTAACATATTGTCAAAATTTTAAAATATGATACATTCATAGTCTAATATGTAACTTTAAATGTTACATGCATAATATATATATATATATTGTGTAATATTTTATTTTTATGTCACATGATCAATTACTAGTATAATAAAATGTAAACATAAAGCACGCTTGACAACCTACAACT